TTCCCTTTTTGTCTTACTGTTAACCAAATTATCTTCCCTTTTTGTCTTACTGTTAACCAAATTATCTTCCATTTTGTCCTACTGTTAACCAATTTATTTTACTGTTAACCCTCTTCCCTTTTTATCTTTCTGTTAACCAAATTATCGTCCCTTTATGTCTTATTGCTAACCAAATTTTCTATACTTTATATTTTTTATATCTTACTTTCAATCAAATTATCTCTCTCTCTCTTATATTCTTTATTTGCTGCTACTGAAAAAGTTATCCGTTCTATACATTCTTTATTTCCTGATAATAGTCACACTATAATTCTCTGTTACATACGGAGCAAAAAATACAAAGAAGCGTTCCAGTTACGTTTATTAAATATTTCAAATACAAAAGTATCGATATTGTAGTAACGCATTAATCGAAACTAAAGTTAATACATACTCACAGCAGGAAGAGAAAGATAACCAGTGAGAACAAACCAAGAGTTGCCGTCCCCCACATTATATGCACCAGTGTTGAATACTTTAACAAATTAATGGCGTTCTTCTTCCCACAACCTTTCCAACTACAAGTGTTTTTCCTATCATTATCTGTACATCTTCCAACTTCTGGTAACTGTCGTCGCTAGCAGTCCCGTGAGCGCTGTGTGTTGATAATAGCTTCGTAAACAGCTCATGTTGACATATATAATTTACGAAATATAAAGGTCTTTGGGTTGAATAATATTTCTACTCTTCATAACATAACCTCTAGTTCTTCAATATGAATGGTTCAGATATTTCAAGAAGAATACTAAATATTTAATTTCTGTTGTGCATAGAAGACATATTAATACTTTTAATGTTCATACAGATTAAATTTTTGGTGTTATAAAGTCGTTTATTTCGAATACTAAATATTATTACTTTAGACACTAAGTGATACAGGAAAAAACTATATATATATATATATAGCCATTAGTTTAAATCAATAGACAACACGAGACTTTTGTTGTTGTTTTTCTTGTGCAATGTTACACAGTCGAGTATCCGCATTATGTCCACCGCAGGAATCGAACCCCAGATTTTTACGTTACAAGTCCATAAATTTATCACTGACTCATCAGGAAAACGGAACTTTTGAAAGAGCCATCACACTATATTTGTATCTAACGAATCATTTTCTGGTGGTCTAAAAAGAAGGACGACTAACAGTGAACAGTCAAGTAATACCGACATAATAATATAAAAAATTAAAAACTTTTTTGAATAGAGGGCACTTCAACATAATGCTACATATCTGCTTGTTTGATAATTTTCGGTATAAATTATTTCCGATGAACTTCAGCGATACAAGTGCCTTCTTGATTAAAACTAGTTTATTCTTTCTTGATACAACTTTGTAATACACAGAATTTCCACAGTCAGTACATTAAACTTAACAATATTTATAACACACGCTATAAATCACAGTGATTCACACACTTCACTTACGGTGCCTACTGTTCGCTTGCCTCAATTATCAATCTCTGCAATCTATCTGCCCATCTCGCTGGCTTTCTTTGCCATGCTTATATACTAAAAAAAGAGGGCGTCTAGCAAACACTCGAACATTCGCGGGGCTCCTCGATAATTCATGATCCTTCGATAAACTCCAGCGCGCATGCTCCCAGCGTCGCGTGACTTCCGCTGTGGTAACAATAAAAAAAAGTGACATAATTCACACTTTCGATTATAAGAAAATAAGATTTTCCGAATTCTTACTTTTTTATTAATATTATAGAGATACTCTAGGTTTATTTCAGCTTTCTTGTTTTCTAACTACATGATTTTTATAGTCAACAGCTCTACATAATAAGTTATCAACATTGCTAAGGGTATTCCTGGAACTGATAGCCTCTGCTGTATAGCAGCTGAAGTAAGATACAAGAAGGGATATGATAGATTACAAAGATATTGATTACATTATTTCTATCTTATTTTTTATGCGAGTTTTCGACTCTCTTACGAAGAGAACCTTTCTCGCGCTACTGATTAAACTGAACAAAAGTCTTCAACATGGGTGTATTGGATGGGGCTTGTATATTAACATTATTATAACATTTTAATTTCATACGTTTATAAAAATCTTCACAGTTAGTTTGCAACCCCAACGGCACCATATACAACACGAGACCAGAACTAAAAGGCAGAGTAAGTTGGATATTCCTATGATTCAAGCATAGCCTTCTCGAGTCAGTAACATATGACAAGGTTTTATCTCGGTATGTTACACATTAGGTTCCGTCTCATCCTGACGTATTCAGTAGAAACAGTGTGTTTATTCTCAGAGTGTCACTTCTAGTAGAAACATTAGGCGTAGTCTCATTATGTCATCCCTAGAAGAAGTGTTAGGTTTAATATTGAACTATCGTATTCAGTACAAACGATAGATTTATTATTAGGCTATAATTTCCAATAAAAATGTTAGATTTAATATTGGATACTACCTCTAGTGCAAACAACAGATTTATTATCAGGATATCACCTCCATTCCAGTAGAAATGTTAGGTTTAATCTTCGGCTATTATCTCTAGTAGAAACAATAGGCTTAGTCTCGGTGCGTCACATCCAGTAGAAATGTTAGGTTTAATTTTGGGCTGTCATCTCTAGTAGAAACAATAGATTCAACCAGTACCATCTCCAACAGAAATATTTGGTATGACATCTTCAGTATAACCATTAGGTTTAATCTTAGTATGTCATCGTCAGTATAACCATTAGGTTTAATTATAGTATGTCATCGTCAGTATAACCATTAGGTTTAATCTTAGTATGTCATCTTCAGTATAACCATTAGGTTTAATCTTAGTATGCCATCTTCAGTATAACCATTAGGTTTAATCTTAGTATGTCATTTTCAGTATAACCATTAGGTTTAATCTTAGTATGTCATCGTCAGTATAGCCATTAGGTTTAATCTTAGTATGTCATCGTCAGTATAACCATTAGGTTTAATCTTAGTATGACATCTTCAGTATAGCCATTAGGTTTAATCTTAGTATGTCATCTTCAGTATAGCCATTAGGTTTAATCTTAGTATGACATCTTCAGTATAACAATTAGATTTAATCTTAGTATGTCATCTTCAGTATAACCATTAGGTTTAATCTTAGTATGTCATCTTCAGTATAACCATTAGGTTTAATCTTAGTATGCCATCTTCAATATAACCATTAGGTTTAATCTTAGTATGTCATCGTCAGTATAGCCATTAGGTTTAATCTTAGTATGTCATCTTCAATATAACCATTAGGTTTAATCTTAGTATGTCATCGTCAGTATAGCCATTAGGTTTAATCTTAGTATGTCATCTTCAATATAACCATTAGGTTTAATCTTAGTATGTCATCTTCAGTATAGCCATTAGGTTTAATCTTAGTATGTCATCTTCAGTATAACCATTAGGTTTAATCTTAGTATGTCATCTTCAGTATAGCCATTAGGTTAATCTTGATATGTCATCCTCAGTAGAAATGTTTAATCTCAGTAACAGTCTACAATTGAAATCAAACTTTTGTGTATTTTTCTTTGTATGAAACAATAAACACATGAGTTGGTATTTCAAATTCATATGTATATATTTTACACATTAAAAATTTAGATCAAAAATTAGTCCAACATGTTGATCTTGCTTTATTGTTATTATACTTGAAGCTCCAATATAAAACCTGGGCTGTTGAAAACGTGTTTGTTTTTAATTACTGGCTTCTGTTAACACAATAATAGAAAGTTACTGACAAACTTAACACCGAGTCTGTCAGTCAGAGAGACATGCTTGGTGGGTTAATTCCCAAACAACATTTTCTGGTAAACAAGACTCTCTTTCCTTTTTTTTATAATTATGAACAGAGATTCAAACTCTTTATGATATCTTCAATCTAAACCACCCATCACCATGGCCAAATTTGCACTAATTTTCAGACTAAGAAGGAATAAAACCTACACCCCCAATCCAAAATCCTGCATAAAGAACAGTGGTGGTTGCAATCCTTGAGAAATACAAAGACTGTTCCTCTGCTCTATAAAGCCATTTTCTTCACGAGGAAGTTTTTTACTGTAAACTTTTGTATTTATTTTATGTCTATTATAAATTATATTTTTTCTGACCATAAAAGGCAGCATTTATTTTGAATAATGTTTTTTAATTATATGCAAATTAAATAAAATATTCCACTTTTGACAGCATTACATATTCACCATTTTATCGAACTTCAAAACATTCGATTAAAATGTTTATTACGTTAGTGCTAATGTTATAATCAAAATATGTTATCTCAACATTAAATCATTACTCTATTTTTATTTATGATATTAGAAAAACGTGTCGGTTCAAGAAATCAATTTGACAAAAAAGATGCAATACTCTATAACCCGAGCACTTTCAAAACGTTATAGGGTATCGTATCTTTGTGTTAAACTGTATAGTTTTGTGACTTTATGTAGAAAATAAATTAAATAATTTCACTGTAGAATAAAAACAAAAATTTCGACAGTTTTTTTCTTATGATTATGTTTTTAATATGTACAAGTATTACAAAATCATCTCGATTGGTTCTACAATAGAGCACACATGGAGAAATACTTAAAAAATGTCATTTTTTGAAAGTCTTCAGATTCATCTATGAAAGTATTCCATAATTTTGTGTTCCATATTTTTTTCAGTATAGGACAGGATCAATTAAGCATAGATTTGCACAAAAATATTTCAAGATATTCAGATACTATATCAACACTGTAAATACATAACAAGGGTTCACTTACATATTTTACCATCTGAAGAAAATTGCTAGTAAACTGAAAACAACGTTTTATTCAAGAGTTTAATCCCCCAATCATACACACTAAGTTTAAAAGGAATCATTTATACATTTAGTTCACACCCTTTCATTCAAACTTTCATCACTGCAATATCAATAATATTTCTGTACTCTAACGTGGACATCTCGTATCATAATACCCTGAAACATTACCTTTACTAATTATACATATACACATTGTGCATCCTTATACACACAAAACAATGTTCTTTGCTCTATTTTTCATCAGCAAGTGAATAGTTCATTGTCATAACGTGTGTTGCAATATCCCACACATAGGTGTATTTTGTCTCTTCACGTGCACGTCTGTCGGTCTAAACCGAAACAAGGTTTCTAAACGTCCTGTCGTTCTCTTCTTGGCAGAAACCAAGTTCCCACTGTGACACTTTCGGAGAAGATATCTTTCATTACAATTTTCAACTTTCACAAAGGTTACTTAAGGCTGGTTCATAGTCGTTGAAACTTTTTGATCACTGTCTGATTTTTCTTTGTTCTCTCGCTGTTGCTGTTTTTTTATCTTCTCCCACTTCTGTACAAGAGACGGGATGTTTTTCTTCTTCAGTGATAAACCCGAAGATAATTTTGGCTGCAATGCAAATTTACATGTTAAAAGAATGTGACACACGTGTCTTTGAAGGGGTCTACTCTCATGTTAAACAAATACTATAACTACAAAGAAACAGGAAGAGTAGTGTCTTATAACAGTGTCCTCTGATAATCTGAAACATAATGTCTTACATTTTACCTTATCTGTTAGGTTAGTATGTGTATTTAAAATGGCAGAAGCCTCTTATTTTTCACAGTTACTAGTTTTTAAAAAGGATAACTAATTTTTTTGTTCACCTACAAAGTGTCCGAGGTAAGAGTGACACTTCAAAGATGTGTCAGAGAAATGTTGCTTAGGTTTTCCAAAAGGGATTATTATTTCATTTGATTAACAAATGGTTATAGGTTAGAATGATATTCGTCATCAGTAGAAAAAACAAGTTGTTTACATTGCATCGATAACCTCTTCATTTTACTTGCATTTTTTATCTTTAATATTAATTTGTCAAATTTAGTTACATGGTATGGTTTATTCATAAGTCACAACGTAGGCTAAATACAGGCAAATTATACCAAAGTATAAAATCTTATCCAAATGCAGTCTGTTAGAAAAGGCATAATTTTAATAAGATAAAGATTTAAAGGTACTTTCCACTTAAGTAATAAATTCAATTTTGTTTTATTCTTGCTCAAATTTGTATTACTTTTGACGTTAATTCTACACTCCAAATGTTTTTTTTTTTTATAAATGTAGTGCCTTAAATACATATCTGAGGCTAAAACGACGATGTTGGTAAGTTAAAAATCCACACAGGATTGGAATGTTAGGTAAACCAACCTTCTTTTTGTCTTTTTTTGAAGTTGAACTGGACTGTGGCTCTTGGTTGCTACTGCTACATACTGGGGCTATTGGTGGTGTTTCTGCAGATGTGGAAGGTCCTGAAATGGGGGAAGGTTCACTCCTTATAAAGTAATTTTCTTCAAAGGACAGAGCTGATGGTAATGGCTGAAATACGTTTGTTGTTGAACTGCTAGTTACGTAACTACTCGCTGATGGTGGTTGTGGTGGTTTAGCTATCACATAGGACTGATCTTGGTTCTGGGCCAAACTTGAAGAGGCACTGGTAGTCGATGAATAATTCTTCTTACTAAGTAGAGGAGGTGGTGGTGGTGGTGGAGCAAGTACAGAAAAAGAAGTGCACGTACTTGATGGGTTATCTCCATCACCAACAACCTCAACATCCATTTCAACTTCTGGTATTTCTCCTTCTTCTAACTCTGTGCTGTCAGGGGGTGGTGGTGGAGGTGTTTTTGGAAGTGGAGGAGGTGAGTCTACACCTGGTGGAGGTGGTGGTGATTCCACACCAGGGGGTGGTGGTGGGGAATCAGAAAGAAGATGAGAAACAAAGGCCACAACACTTGCTGATTGCTCTGGGGGGAAAAAATATATATATACATATCCAGTTAAACAAATGTGCACAAAAAAACAAACAATTTACGATTATTTAGAGTTGACATGTCATAGAACTAAACTGGACAAATTTACAAGAACATTTTTATTCAGAAGTTCAATTTACCACTAAAAACTTATTCAACAATACAATACAAAGGTATTTCCCAAGGGATCATAACTTTGAATAATGAAAAAAACAACAACATTATAAACTTGTTAATCAGTGGTGTTATTTGAGAAAATACCTGGGGTTGGCAAAGTTGTATGAGCACATAGAACATTCTTGAACTGTACTTCGTTTATGAAGAAAACTTCACTCATATATGTATTATATATACCTTATGAAAAGCTTGTAGAAGGCACCTGCTCATAGTAAATGGGATCCCTGCTTCTGTATAATCATAACTGTAATAGTGCACAGGGACTTAACTAATGAAACAATGTGTTCTTATATTTATAGATATGGACCCGACAGTATATTATAACACTGTTTGCCAGAATATGTTCGTCTACCTTAATATTAGGATTTAAAGCTATATTAGCATGTTTGTATTTAATAACAAAATTTAATTTCAAACCACTGTAGATTAAAAGAACTGAAGTTATTAAAATTCATATTTATGATAATAAATATTAACTTCCAATCAGAGCAAGCTACTTGTTTATGAAAAATAAAAATCAATCGTTTAGTGGGAACAGGTAATTGAACTCTAGTGTAATGTAAGTTCGGTCCAACACAAACCTGATGTTGAATGGCTTGTAGTAAGAAAAGTTGAATAAGAAGACTTCATCGTTGGTAAGACAGTGGTGAATGGTTGAGATGATGGTTGAGTAACAATGGTTGACTGAGACGATTCAACAACTATCTCTGAGGGTTCAGATGACTCAGTAACTGATAAGGATGATTCCGCAACTGACGATGCAATGGGTACAGAACAAGCTGGCTCAAGATCTACGTATGATTCAGAGACTAGAGTTCTGGCAGGTTTGTTCCTGGATATAGAAGATGATACAGATGGATTCTGGGTACTTTGGGAGGGTTGTGAAGGAAATGTAGTTGATTTGGTGCTGTGAATCACTGACAGGTTGTCTTTATCTTGTGACAAGTTGCCCTTAGGAGATGCTGTTATGACAGGGAAATCCCACTGAGAAAAGCCAGTTTCTTGATTGGCATAAAAGTACCTCTTGTGGTTCCTGTGAGGTGAAGGATGGGGGAAAGGGAATAGGCAAAAAAGAAGGAAATCCCAATAAAGATACCAGATATATTTTTTTTTCATTTATGCCTAATAAGTTATTTAGCAAAGTAACTTATGCAGGATTTAAAACTCAGAACAATTAAGAAAACAATTAAAAATTACAAACAGTAGGTATACTATATATATATATAAATGTGAAAAAAAAATTCATTTATTTTTTACAAATTTACAATACAAAACACCTATTAACATTTAAAATATATTTACACTCAATGCTTAACACTGACACCAATTTCATTTCAAATAAATTTGAAAAACTCAGGTTTCTTTTATTTTAAACATGCACTAATGAATGATAAATATCTTTCAAAATCTTTCAGAAAGATCAACAAGCAGATAAAACTTTCCTTTCTGTCAACATCCACATTTTCAGAAAGTCATGAAGACAATAGTAAAAAAAAAATATAAAAAATTATAACAATTCTTATTTAGATGAGTTTTCAATTAGTAACTGTTCTTTACTGATATAACTAATAACATTTAATTAACTGATTAAAACTTCAAAAGACTCCAGGAACACAGTTTTGAAATAGCTGCACGTTTCCAACCCTCAGAATGGGAGAAGTAACTGCTTTATAAGGCCATTCTTTTTTTTTTCTTCTGAAATTGAAATATACTGTACATGGGTTAGTTAGATGATATTTGACATACATATGCCTATAAACATAAAGTTAAGTTTAATATATATCACATTTCATTTCCAGGATAACAAATATTTGTTTGAAAGTAATTAGAACACCGGACTATTTTATTTTATTTTTTACCAGAAGCATAAAGAACTACAGTTTTGTTTTTCTCCCTAAAAAGCTATTTACTCGATACAACTTATGGCTTAGGCTTAAGCAACAGCTTCTTTTAGAAGCATAGTTACGAAACAGAATACACCTTCTTGTGAGAATTTCGAATAGGAAGCAAGTCGAGTTTTACTGATGAGTATAAAAGTAGGAAATAGACCAGATCTTGCTGCTGGTAAAAAGTTAAAGGGAAAAAAATACTTGTATGAAGTAAATAAATGAGACTTTCCTGTAAAAGTAGAGTTTAAGAAATGGAAATTATTTTTCTACCAGAACAAAAAGAAGAAATGAAATAAAAAATTGTTGCAGCACTAAGTATGATGTGGATTAGAGCTTCCTGTATAATGATGCAGGAACTGAGAGTGCAGCAGTAATACCTGGCTTGATACAGGGATTTTGATGTTTTTCAATGGGTTTCAGCACCACCAATACAGAAATTGTTTTAACGTCATTGTTCCTTCATAAACAAAAAAGTAAAAAGTGAATGTTTCTGCTAAAATAAAAAGTAAAAAAAGCAAAAGACAAGACTTCCCCATTAAAACAAAATCTATAAAGTGGACTAAACACTCTTGTTGGATCATTTATACCACAATGAGGACTAGACTGTCTTGTCCAAATTAGAACAAAATACATGAAACCAACCTTCTTGTTGGACAGAAAGAAGGAAACTAACTAGGCCTTCCATAAAATCAAATACACAAAACCAGCCTTCTTGTTA